AGACATTTATCACCTAAAAATAAATTTTAAAAAAACAATTATGCTTTTCCATTGAAATATAAAATAAATTTTCATACCAAATAAGTCATTATAAAATAAACTTTAAACTTTTCTATATTATATGTATATCAGTGTATGGCTATATGTAAAAAAATTAACTAGGCAATTCACTAATATAAACGACTATAAGCAGCCATTAAATCTAGTAAATTATAGCAAATCCAAACTTTCTCTATGTTAATTCAACCATAATCAAACTATTGAACTTTTTACTGTTGGATGCCAAGAGGGAGTGCAAGCAGAGAGGGAATCCGGCACAGGGCAACAAGCAGAGAGCAAGTCCGGCACAGTGCAGTAAGCAGAGAGCAAGTCCAGTGTAGTGCAGCAAGCAGAGAGGGGTTCGGCACAGTGCAGCAAGCAGAGAGCAAGTCCGGCACAGGCAGCAAGCAGAGAGGGTCCGGCGCAGTGCAGCAAGCAGAGAGGGTCCGGCACAGTGCAGCAAGCAGAGAGCAAGTTCGGCACAGTGCAGCAAGCAGAGAAGGAGTCCGGCATAGGCAGCAAGTCCGGCACAGGCAGCAAGTTCGGCACAATGCAGCAAGCAGCAGAGAGCAAGCCCGGCACAGTGTAGCAAGCAGCAGAGAGCAAGTGCAGAGACAAAGTTCAGTAGTCAGCAGGATGAACTCTAGCAGATCTGCAGGCTGCAACTAACAGCTTTAACAGCAGCTCCAGAAGCAGATCTGTAACAGCTTCAGCAGCATATTTGTAGCAGCTTCAACAGCAGATTTGCAGTAGATTTGTAGCAGCAAGAAGGGGAGAGGAAGGTTGAAGGTGAGGTGAGACTTGAGAGCTTGATTGGCCGGCTGAAACAAAGAGTGAGTGAGGGGCTGTCTGCGACGTGAGTGAGGACTGAGGAGAAAGGGAGGGGAAATTACCAAAGTTATGAAATTAGGGTTGGAAGGGGGATTAATTAGGGTTACAAGTTGTAAGGAGGATGTTGGATTGGGTTGGCCGGTTGGGTTGGACATTTGGGTTGGGTTTGATAAAATTTAATTTTTATTGAATTAGATTTGGGTTGGGTTTAGGTTTTATTTTAAATATTAAATTAAATTTAAAATATTTTTTTTTTTAATTTTTCGCGGGGATAGAGATCCCTGTGGGGCCCCGTGAAATTTCACGGGGAGAAAATCTCCCCCATCCCCGTCCTGCGAGGAGGAATATTCCTCCCCGCCCTGTCTCCGTGACGGGGATCCCCGCGGGGATCGGGAGAAATTGCCACCCCTAACCACGCGTGCATCCTGCACTCATTTTCCAAATCCGATATCTTGGATTCTTTATCCCAATGGCCCAATCCCCTCAAGGTCAAGGCCCAGACCCACCATCGGACGTGTATAGTACGCAGACCGATTTTCCGTTATCTTCCTTTCGACGTCTCGAGGTCTCCATCACTGCTCACTCGCAATCCTTCCTTTCCAATAATTGCCCCATTTATTCTCCCTTCCTCGCCCACTCCCTCCAAATTTTGAAACTCAAAAACAAAAACCCTAAAGCCACCACCGCCTCAACCACAACCATAGCCAATCAAGGCCTCATCAACAGTCTCATTTACGACCATGATCGAGGATTCAAGACTTAGAAAGTCCCCATCAAACATGATGCAATCTCCAAGTCCTTGGATGCATTGGTTCTCCTCCACATGGCGGCTTCTCTGGACCACAGAGGAGGAAGGCTTATTCGTTCGGCACTCAAACCGGCGGCAACGTCTTGTGGGAAATCGACGTTACTAAATTTTAGGTAAGAATTTTGTTGTTCTGTCCTGGAACATTTAATTATTGTGATGAAATTTGATTCAAAGTGTTTCTTCTTCAACTATAAGATTTACGATTATTTTATCCATGATGTTTAGTTCAATGATTATTCTACTGTTACTTGTTCCTTGACTGTTGCTTTTTGTTACCAATTTGGAATTATCTTCAAATTCGTAAACCTTGTTTCATTCTCAAGACAGCATCAAAATTTGGATCACTTCAATTATTTATGCTGGTATGAGACCCCTTACTGGTGATACCCACTCCACTCAGTCCTCTCACAACCATTTTACTCGTCTTTTTAAAGTCAATATCCCTTGCAGCAGTTTTATGTTTATATATATCCCAGCTTCATCACACAC